GGGGCCGTCCCCACCCCCCTTCAGCCTGTGGGGTCCTTGCTAACAGCTGTGCCTGTCCCCGCAGTACGTGTCGGAGGTGGTGATCGGGGCCCCCTACGCGGTCACCGCAGAGCTCCTGGACCACTTCAATCACAGGAAGTGCTGGGGCTCCTTAAGCTCGGGGCAGCCTGAGCCCTCGGGGTCCCCCCCCAGAAATGAGCCCAGGCCACAGGGCAGGCCGGGGTGGGCTGTGAGCCTGAAGGTCTTGGCGTTGGGCTGACCGTCCTGCTCCATGTGCCTGTCACAGATGACATCACCCTGACTGTCGACGGCCGGGACACCTACGAGGAAGTGAAGCAGGCGGGGAGGTACAGGTGAGCCAACCATGCCCCCTTTCCAGGGCGGGGCGGGTGTGTGCGGCCACGGCCTGTGTTGCTCTCGGTCGTGCCGGGATGGGGTGCTGCACCGCAGAGCGGCCCAGTTTCCCCTCATGCCCAGAGCCTCAAGGAGACGCTGTCTGTGCACAGCACCCCCAGGAGGCAGGTGACCCGAGAGCTCCGACCCCACCTCTGTTGTCACCTCTGTCCCCAGAGAGTGCAAGCGCACCCAGGGCGTGTCCACCACGGACCTCGTGGGCCGCATGCTGCTGATGACCAAGGCCCATCACAGCAGCCAGGTGAGACTGGGGGTGGGGCGCGGAACCTCCGAGGTCCCCTCACCCAGGACGTGGCTGGAGGGGAGGAGCTCCAGGCTGTGGTCAGTGTCCTGGGCGTGGCCACACCTGGAGGGGGAGGCCCAACCCTCACCCTTCCTTGCAGGAGATGTCCTCGGAGTACCGGGCGTACGCAGACAGCTTCGGCAAGGTGAGTGCTGCGGGGCCTCGCCTGCCCCCGGCTCCCTGCCTCCGGGCGCTGACCAGGGACTGCCCAGCACTGCCTGGAGGAGGAGCGAGGACGGCCCACGGACAGGCGGCCTCTGACCAGGCGGCCTGGCCCTCTCTCCCTTTCTAGCCCCCTCACCTGACACCTGCCAGGGAGATGCTTTTCTCAGAAGGTTCCTCCCAGGTGACCAGCGGTGGCCTCAGGGTGCGGGGTCCGCAGGAGGCTGTGTCCATGGCCTCCCTCCTAGACCTAGGTGGTGGCAGCTGCAAAGCCCTCTGTGGCCATGGGGCCCCTGCCCAGCGTAGCCTGGATGTGTACTGGGCACTGTGGCCAGCCCTCCGTGTCCCTCCCTGAGACGCCTGCCGGGAACAGCACCTGAGCCAGTGAGCAGCTGGCAGGCTGGGCTGGGGTTTAGTCCTGACCTGTGGCCCCCACACCTGCTGCCTCCATCCCACACCCGTGCCTCCCAAGCAGGCGTGTGCAGCAACCCCAGACTCAGCGGAAGGGACAGGCGAGGGACCCGTCTGCGAGGCCTCTATGGCTGACCAGGGACTCCTCTCGGCTTATAGTGCCCGGGGGGGCGGAACCCCTGGACCGGGGTGTCCCAGTTTCTGCAGACGTCCCGGAAGATCATCCAGTTTGCCTCAGGGAAGGAGCCGCAGCCGGGGGACACGATCATCTATGTGGCGGGCGCCTTCGACCTATTCCGTATCCTCTGGCCTGGGCAGGGGCTCTGCGTGCCCACACCTGCCCCAGGGAGGCCTCTCTGATCCCGCGGCCCTGGGGGGTGGCTCGGGCACTGAGGGAGGTGGGAGGGCGGCTGCCCCTGTCCTGCTACTTGTTCCTGAACCCGGCACAGACATTGGGCACGTGGACTTCCTGGCGAAGGTGCATGGCCTGGTGGAGAGGCCCTACGTCATCGCTGGCCTGCACTTTGACCAGGTCTCTGCCCCGGGGAGCTGGTCTGGGGGACCCTGGAGGTGGGCTCGGGAGCCATGGGGAGCGAGGCCCGGGCTGCTGACGGAGGCAGAGACGAGCTGAGCTGGGGCCTCTCCCTGGGCAGGGTTGTCCTCTCGGCCTTCCCCTCGCCAGTGGGTGCCCCCCAGGGTCGCTGGCAGGGTGCCTGCTGACCGCCCCCACTCTGCCCGTAGGAGGTCAACCACTACAAGGGCAAGAACTACCCCATCATGAACCTGCATGAGCGGACCCTGAGTGTGCTGGCATGTCGGGTGAGCGCCGGCCGGCAGGGCGGGCCTGAGAGCAGGGGGTGGCCCGGC